CTGACAGAATTAGTCACTTCTGCATCTGGTTTGTCCAGTCTGGCAGAGTACAGTTGTCTAAAAATATATCGTGTGGGTAGCTTAGAAGAGGGGTGAGGAGGTTTTTGCGTGGGCACAGGGCTTCTCTCTGAGCTCTCTTTGCACGGAGGAGTTGTGTGCAAGAGACCTCCAGTCGCTGCATAAATCCACCTGCGTGCGCTCCTTTTCCGGGTTTCCCCATGGGGTTTGTAATCCAGGGGAAACTGAGGCACGGGAGAAGCAAGGCGACGTCTTTCAGACCCTTTCACTTGCTTGGCATGTGGCTTTTCTGCCAGGAAACCTCCGACCCTGCCGTGGGGAGCTCCGTGGTGCCGGTGAGGAGGAGCATGAGGAAGTCACTGAAACCTGTGACTAAGGCGGGGAGAATAGCAAGGAAGGTTTTCTGTTAATAGCGTTTATTGGAGTAATTTCCTCGAGAAGGGCAGCGGCGTCAGACGCTGAGTCACCTTGTGCTGGGGGTTGGTGCACAAGGTGAGAGCAGGACGTGCGTTCAGATCCTCTCTGGTTTACGCCCAAAGTCGCGATGCTCAGTGCAGCGGCCGTTAGCTAAAGGAGAGTAAAATTACAGTCATCTTTCTCTTGATTTAATTCATTTTTTGAGCCTTTGCTTCCATCCAGCGCCGCACAGGAGCTGTTTTCCACCAAGTGGCAGCAGCACCATGGGAGAGTGATGGAGGCTGTTTGGGCACAGAGAAGCCTGGGACTGAGGTCAAAGAGGTGCATTTTGTGGACAGGGAGGATTCAGGCTCTTACTCGGAGGTCAGGGCACGGGCCCTGCTCTGAAACCTTCCCAGCACGACCCGCTTGACATTCCTGTAGTGCTTGAGGGATGCTTCAGATCCTTTGCCTTGCGTGGAGGAAAGGGTTTGCAGGGATCGCTGCTGCTTACTCGGGTTGTGATACACAGCAGCTCCTCACAGCAGCTGCTTTGGATCCAGTCTCACATCTCCCTCTACTCACTGGGTAACTCCTGTGAGTAACTGTGGCTGCTTGTGCATCTCGAACAGGAGTGATGGTAAAAAGAACCTGGGAGGCCCCACGCTCCTTTGATTTCTTTTGGTGCTGTGCATCGTGGCTTTGGAGCAAGAACAGCCTGACCAGAGCATGCTGTGTATCGTTTTTTTTCCCAAGAAAAGCAGAGAAATGGTCTATAAAGTGTGATCAGACGGTGAGGAGCTGTGTTTTCCTTCTGGTTTAATCACACTGATGGGCTGCTCCCACCTAAGAGATTTTTCTCTCTGCAGAGGCACAGCCTTTAGCTCCAAGAGGATGTGAAAATGCCACAGCATTGTGCAGTTTGCCCTTGTACGGCGATATCTCCTGGGTTTAAGCCCCAGAGGTTGTTATAAATCGGGATGATTGGTGTGAGAACTGGTAGACTTAGTGGCTTTCTAATCAGTGTTTGCAGAGGATTGAACTTAGAGAGTCCTTGACAAAAAATGTGGGGGAAGGTGCCTCCCCTGCCACCTCCCTTGCTTCTGTAAAGAGCCTGGGGCGAATACCGCAGGGAGGAGAGGCTCTGGGGAGGTGTGGAGGGTGGGAGGGGAGATTGGGTGAAGCAAAGGGCAAAAGGAGTTTGGGAATGGTGTAACCGGGAGCTGGGCTTTCCTGGGATGTGAGGTTTGGGAAAGGTAAGACAGTGAAGCCACTGCATCTAAGGGAAGTGTGGTGAGGATGGCTGGGTCTGCATGAGGGGGCTCAGGGGTCCCTCTGTCACCAGGATCGCCTCTGTTTCTGGTTTTTCCTGACTTTTAGCTTGTGTTTGGGTCAGCCCTGAGCTGGGAGAGGCCAGGCAGTGTTTGCAGGGAGGACCTTACCCCTGTTGCCGCGCAGGAAGGCAGTCGAAAGCAGCGAATTTGTGCTCGTCGGCACTTAATGTTGTTGCATCCTTGCTGTCCTCTGGAGCCGCAGCCTGGTGAGGCTCAGAGAAGGGGAAAACAAGAAGGTGGTGGCTGGAAAAGCCAGGCATCCTCCTGGTTTAAACAGTTTGCAGCAGGCACAGAGCCCTCCCCACCTGAGGGAGGCGCAAGCAGAAGCTGCGGTCCCCGCTCTGGGGAGGAGGGGAAGCGCAGTGCAGATGTGGGCCCCCCAAATCTGCCTGGACCGAGGATGCTCTGGGCAGTGCGGCGTCCTCTGAAAACATCTGAGCTGCAGCCGCTCTGATTTCCCCCAGGGCTGGAGGTACCCGAGGAGGTCAGGGTGGAGGGCAGGTAAGCCCAAAACGCGAGAAAGTGAAACCCCGACGCAGGGAGGGTTTTACACCGTGACAGAGACCTTCCTCTTTGTCACCTGGCCTGGCACGGGGCGGTGACAGCAGTGAGAGCTCTCTGCTGTGGGTGTCACTCCTTGCTCCTAAATCTGCTCTTTGTTAGCTAACACCTGAAATCTGTCTGGTTTTGCGATGTCTTGTGTGCTCACCTTCCAGTTTTGGTTTATTTCTTTTGATTATAATTTGTGCCGGATGGGAAACCCAGGCAGAAATACAGGAGCGCTCTGGTGGTGTGAGAGATGGATGGAGAGTTGTACCGATGTCAAGGGAGGAAGTAGCTCATTTCCTTCTTTTACGGGAATGCTCTTTATTTATACCCACAAGCTACGGGTGACACAGCTCCCACGGGTGACACAGCTCCCACGGGTGACACATCCCATGCAGCGAGTGCTTTGCAGGGGTGAATTTTTCTCTGCAGTTTCATCTGCTGGCAGGCAGAGGTTTCTGAGGTTTTGGGTCACAGGGGGGTGTGTGGCCTCGTCCCTGAATTTATTTGAGCTGATGGCGGTGTGATTCCTCCCAAAAAGCCCTCAGGAGTGGAGGTGCAGAGGGATGCCTTGTGCTGTTGGGGATGAGGAGCTGCCATGGACAGGTCGCTCTGCTCTAGGCTGTTTTGGTGGGACCTCTTCAGGCTTTGGGAATGCCCTTCCCACCCTCCTGCCCTCTCTCCCCTCCCAGGACATGAACAACCTGGAGGAGGGGGTGGAGTTCCTCCCTGCCATGAACTCCAAGAAGGTGGAGAAGCGCGGCCCGAAGCGGCGGGTGGTCGTCGCCGTCGCGATCGTTCTTTTCCTGCTCATCTCCCTCGCCACCGGCCTCCTGGTTTGGCACTTCAAATGTGAGTGTGATGGCAGCTTCGTTATCTGGTGGTGTTATCTGGGAGGGCTCCAGGAAGTGTGGGGACACCATTTCCACCCCTCTTTCCCCGATTCCTGTCACTGGGGACCTGCTGTGCCCCGGTCCCAGCCCTGACAGCCCTTTCTGACTCCTTTCCAGACAGGAACGTGGCCGTCCGGAAGGTTTTCCTTGGCCACTTACGGGTGCTGAACTTGGACTTCCTTGATGCCTACGAGAGCTCCAGCTCACCAGAGTTCATCATGCTGGCCAAGAAGGTGAAGAGCACGGTAAGAGGCTTTTTTCCATCCCTCCTCCTGCGAGAAGGGCTATTTCCTCTTGCCCAGTGGCTGTGGGGATCTTGCGTTTAAGACTGCTTGGAGATTTCTTGCTTCTCCAGTCCCATGGGGTGTCTCTGCCTCTGTGACCCAGCATGTGCCTGGGCAGACCCCAGGGTGGTGCACTGTGGGGCTGAGGGAGGTGGGTGTCTGCCCTCTGCTGAAGCCATGGCTGGTCTTGCCTTTCCCCTCAGACTCGGGTATTCGGGGTGCGTCCCCTGTGGTGTGCGGCTCTGGGACTATCAACTCTCCCTCTTCCTCTCTTTGGCCTCTGCAGATCCCTGCAGCCGGGTACGTGCCCTGATTTTCCATAGCAGGCTTGAAGCTCTATCTGGCTTTAGTCTTTTTCCCCTCCTCACTTCCAGATGTGCTGAACGCTCTTCTTTAAACCTTTCAGGTGGAGGAGATCTACAGGAACCATCCAGATATTGGTCCTTACCACAAAGAGACAGTGATAACGGCGTTTAGGTGAGTGTTAGGGGCTGTCTAAGCCCTGTCTGGGGATGCAGGAGGGCGATGCTGGGATGTCACACAGCCATGGACCCTTGTTCCTGGGCTGTTGGCCTGGCTCCTTCTGTTGATGCTTGCGTCTGTCCTTGCTCTCACTCCGTAATCGCCTTTCCCCTGCAGTGAAGGCAGCGTCATTGCCTACTACCGGTCGGTGTTCGTGATCCCCAAGTACCGGGAGCAGAGCCTGGACAGGGCGATGGCAGACAAGCAGAGCCTGGTCCAGAGGTGGAACCCCCGCCTGCGAAACCCCATGCTGAAGGTGGAGTCGGTCGTCGCTTTCCGTGAGTGCTGGCCTTTGCGGTGGACATGGGGGGACATTTCACTGGTCACAGCCCTCCTTTGGGTGCATTTGGCTGGGGGGATGGCTCTGATGTTGAGTGTAAGGACCCGCCTTTGACAGCGCTGTTTTGATGGACCACACAGGCTGGGGGAGGCGGTGCAGATCCCCTCCCCATTGCTCAAACACTGAGTGCTCCTCCAAATCCATATGGAGGGGAACAGGGGTGAATCCTCAGCTCCCCAAAACCTGGGCAGGAGCAGCACCCCCTGCCCAGCTCACAGGGAGAGACCCCACCAGCAAGGCCAAATCAGTGCAGGTCCCAGGGACTTTGCACAACCCAAAAATGACACCACCTCTGTTTTTCTCCCACAGCTGTGGACTCCAGCATAGCTGACTCTGCTCCGAACAGTAAGTACAGATCTTCCTCTGCATTTCGGGTGAAAGGCAGGCCAGAAGCTCCTGCTTTTCCTTGCTGACTCCTCGCTGCTCTCCTGGGCAGACAGCTGCATGTTCGGCCTCCACGCCAAGGAAGGGGAGATCACCACTTTCACCACGCCGGGCTTCCCCAACAGCCCCTACCCCAACAACGCGCTCTGCTACTGGGCGCTGCGGGCGGACGCCAGCTCCGTCATCAGCCTGACCTTCAAGACGCTGGAGCTGGAGCAGTGCACGGAGACCAGCGACTACATCAAGGTGTACGACTCCCTCAGCCCCGTGGAGCCCCACGCTTTGGTCAGGTGAGCATCCCTGCTCAGAGGTGATCTGTGCTGCTCGAGGCTCGTTACGCGCTGTGTTTAACGGGTTTTGTCCTTCATTTCCTAGGCTCTGTGGGAATTACGCCCCTTCCTACAACCTGACCTTCCTGTCCTCGCAGAACGTCATGCTCGTCACGTTGGTTACCAACAAGGAGGGGAGGTTCCCCGGCTTTAAGGCCGAGTTCTTCCAGCTCCCGAAGATGAAAGGTGAGCGTTGAGGTGACGAAAGGTGAGCAGAGGCCTTGGCCCTGTCCGCTCCATGGGCACAGCTGTGTTCGGTTTGCCAGGGATGTTTCCACGGCCACATCTTGGCTCTTGGAGCTTCCCTTGCCCTCAGCACTCTTGGATGCTGTAATGACATCCCCTGAGGAGGGCAGAATAAGGACTCTGTTGGATGAGACATGCAGCTTGATCCCTTGGGTGCTCTCCAAGCCTTGGAGCAGAGCTGCTCTCTCCAGAGATCAACTTAACCTCGTCAGAGGCTGGTTTATCTGCCTCCCTCCCGGCCAAGGCTTGGGAAAACCACATCTCTTTGCGTCTCTAACCTGTTTTCACCTTCCTGCTTATCTTCTAGGTTGTGGTGGGACTCTGAAAGGAGAGAGCGGCACCTTCACCACTCCCTATTACCCGGCTCACTACCCCCCGGCCACGGACTGTGTGTGGAACATAGAGGTGAGACAGAGTCCTCTCTGTGCCTTAATTAGTCTGTCAAACGAGCTTGCTCATCGTCTCACAGCAGATAGAGCAGATCCCCGCTCTGTGTGTCCTTTTGCTTTAGGGTGCATCACGGTGACTTAGGGAAGGTGTTTCTTTTCCTTCTGGAAGATGGACTTATGCCCATTTCCTGTGCCTCAGTAAAGGCCATGCCCCTGACTCTGCTTCCCGTTGCAGGTTCCCTCTAAAAAGAACGTGAAGGTGCGTTTCAACATGTTCTTCGTGCTGGAGCCGGGGATCCCGGTCAGCTCCTGCACCAAGGACTACGTGCAGGTCAACAGCACGAGGTAGGTGTTGGGCACTCTGTGACCCACGGCATTGGCCCCTTGAGCGGAGGGGCTGTGTTTAGTGATAAAACCTGCCTAGTTTAGTGATAACCTCCTGCTTGCCCTAAATTTGCTGTGGGAACAAGCGTACTGGTGCTTTTTGGAATGGGGTGCTTGGGTCTGACCTGCTCTCGTAGCTCGGTGACACATGAGCAGCACCCTTGGTTGTGGGGATGACACCTGGAGTTTGTTGGGTGCTGTAGCTGAATACCCCTCAAATGCTGTGAAACGTCTGGCGTGGGTTTGCTCGAATGAGCAAATCCTTCATTGCTAGGGTAATTGCACGGCGTTTGGTGATGCATTTGCTGCTGCTTTTACTGTTTGCTAACTAACGTAAGCTGGGCCAAAAAGACCACTTGGTGCTGCACAGGGGACGTGAGCAGCGTTGTTTCCCTGCATTTTAGGCAAGGGGTCTTACCCATCTTGGAAGAGAGAGGGTTTCAAAGTCAGCCCCTGTATCCGTGGTGCTTGTGTGAGTGATTCCTGCCTGTGGTGGGATGGGATCCTGTGGCCTTAGAGCAGAAACGTCCGTGTGTCAGGCAGGGATTTGGGTGAACTCACTCCAAATCATTTCCATGGTCACAGCGTGGTGGTGTTTGCAACCGGCCCAAACCTTCTACTGACAGCAGCCAAATTTGGCTCGTGTGTGTGGACTGGGAGGTCTAATGGTTTGTGCTGGAATCAGACCCGGTCCCTTCACTCTGGGGGGTGAAGTGACCCTTTGATGGGACTTTAGGGATGGAAAAGGTTTGCTCAGTGCTGACCCACAGCATTGCCTTCATCTTTGCTCTCTCTCCCTGCAGGTACTGCGGGGAGCGTGCCCAGTTCGTGGTGGCCAGCACCACCAACAAAATCGAGGTGCGGTTCCACTCAGACCAGTCCTACACGGACACCGGCTTCTCTGCCGAGTACCTGTCCTACGACTCCGGCGATCGTGAGTTGAAACCCTGAGGCTGGGGGGAAATCTCTGAGGCTGGGTGGGAACTGAGGTTTGGAGCTTGTCCCTGCTCTGCGCTTACACTGCGCTGTAAATTGGGAAGTGCCTTATTTTCCTGCAAACCCCTTTGTATTCCCGCTCTGCTCTGAGGAAAGGCTGCTTTTAAAGCTGGAGGCGCAGGGATTGTTGTGTTCTTTGGGGAAGGGATGCAGAGGAGATGATCTGAGGGCTCACACATTGTTTCATCCCTTCCTCCCCGCTCAGCCTGCCCTGGCAAGTTCACCTGCAACACCGGCCGCTGCATTGAGCTCAGCATGCGCTGTGACGGGTGGCAGGACTGCGTGGACGGCAGCGACGAGCGATCCTGCAGTAAGTCTGTCCTGTCTTCCTTCCTTTTTGTGGGGATTTGCTCCGGGTTTGTTATGGGTAACGTGGTGTAGAGCTGAATCTCCCTGCCCGTCTCGCTCACTGGCACCAGCGCTGCTCCGCTCCTCCAGGCACCCAATGTGGGGATCGATTTGGGATCCTTTCCCATCATAGGAACCATAGGTGCCTGCTAATCTAGCCCTCTCCCAGTGGCATCTCCCTTCCTTTCAGTCCCTCCCAGCTGGGAATGTGTTTTTCTATGTAATCCTTGAGGCTGTTGTGGGTTTGGCTGAGCTGGGTGGTGTAAAGGGATGTATTTTGTGACCGATGCGGGCAGGGATTGCAGAGCACACCTGGAAAACCTGGGTGGTGCAGGGAACGCTGCTGGGTTTTTCAGGGCCAGCAGTTTTTTCTAAACACCACTGTTAGGATGTTTGATATCATGTGTGATTCAGGGCAGTTGTTTCTTTGCTTTCCTCTTGAATCAGCAGTGCTACCCCATGGATAATGTTATTATCCAGGGTCTGCAGTTAGTTAGAGAGGAGGGGATGCCCCTGTTAGGGGTGTTGTTCCCATCGAAGGGGCTGTAGTGAGAGGACGAGCGTGCTGCTCCGTGGTCTGGGTGTTTCGGGTGGTTCCCACTGGTTGTAGCAACCACCTTGCTCCAGTTGTCCTGCGGGTGTAACGTCAGCTTCAGCCTCAACTGCCTAAGACGTTACAGCTCTCCGAATGGTTTGCTCTGCAGAGCAGTGGAAATCCTGTGCTGCAGCCTACGTGCATCACGTGTTTATGTGCCCTTGTGTGTCCCCAAGCTGTCGGGATGCTTTTTGCTCCTTCCCATGGCACCACAGGTGCCCTTGCAGGTCTCTTCCCCTGATTTCTCGCCGTTTCTTCCAGCCTGTACGGAGCAGCAGTTCCGCTGCCAGAACGGCTGGTGCAAGCCCAAATTCTGGGTCTGCGACAATGTCAACGACTGCGGCGACAACAGCGACGAGCTGCAGTGCGGTGAGTACCTCACCCCCGGGGCAGTGAGGGCTGAGCACGGCAAGGAACCCCAAAAGCCAGCTTGCCTTGTAGCTGCAGGGGTTTTACCGGGGATAAGAGGGGTGGATGCAGATGCGTTGGAGGAACCGTGGGATTTTGGGGCCTCAGGAGCTGCTTTTTTTACCCCCAGGCTGCGCAGCCGACAGCTTCAAGTGCAGCAACGGGAAGTGCATCCCCGGCGCGCAGAAATGCGACGGCAAGGACGACTGCGGGGACGGGAGCGACGAGGGCAGCTGCAGCAACGGTGAGGATGGGCCTCCCCTCAAATGCAGCCTCTCAGGGGTTCCCTCACGTGGGTTTTCCCTGGGCAGAAGAGGTGAAGGGCTCCTGAGCAGCGGGTCTAAGCCTTCTTCTCCCTTCATCCTGCCTGCAGTGATCCAGCCAACGGTCCCCTGCAAGGAGTACACCTACAAGTGCCGCAACGGGCGCTGCATCAGCAAACAGAACCCGGAGTGCGACGGGGAGCAGGACTGCGAGGACAACTCCGACGAGGACAAGTGCAGTGAGTACCCGGGGAATGGGGACATGGCTTTCTGGGCCACTTGGAGAAATAGTTCAGTGTGAGGGAGCTCATGACTTTTCTGTGCCATGGCTTGATCTGAAAATAGCCCACTTTGCTTGCTTTATGCTTATAAGAAACAAGCAAGCTGTGTTCTGGGCCCCTCAGTTCAAGAAGGACAGGGAACTGCTGGAGAGAGTCCAGTGTAGGGCTACAAAGATGATGGAGGGAGTGGAGCATCTCCCTTCTGAGGAGTGGCTGAGGGAGCTGGGGCTCTTTAGTTTGCAGAAGAGGAGACTGAGGGGAGACCTCATTCATGTTTATCAATATTTAAAGTGTGAGTATCACGAGGATGGAGCCAGGCTCTTCTCGGTGACAAACAATGATAGGACAAGGGGGAACGGACACAAACTGGAACACAGGAGGTTCCACTTCAATTGGAGAAGAAACTTCTTCTCAGTGAGGGTGACAGAGCCCTGGCCCAGGCTGCCCAGAGAGGTTGTGGAGTCTCCTTCTCTGCAGACATTCAAAACCCGCCTGGACGCCTTCCTGTGTAACCTCATCTGGGTGTTCCTGCTCCGGCAGGGGGATTGGACTGGATGAGCTTTGGAGGTCCCTTCCAATCCCTAACGGTGTGGGATTTTGTCATTCTGTGATTCTTTAGCAGCACATGGAGTGTCTGTGGTGTTCCAAAGGGCTCACACAGATGATGATAGAGAGGTTTTTCTGCACTTTTGGTAGTAAATATTTTAGTAAATTTAGTGTTTGTGGCTGCTGTGCCAGCCCTGATGTGGGAAATGGGACACTTGAGGCGCTGTGTGGGCACGGCAGTAACCGAGGCCCCCTTCTCCTTCCCCCCCAGACTGCGGGATCCGCACCTTCACGAGGAAGTCGCGGATCGTGGGCGGGCAGAACTCGGACGTGGGCGAGTGGCCGTGGCAGGTCAGCCTGTACGTGGAGGGCGAGGGCCACGTCTGCGGGGCCTCGCTGGTGTCCGAGAGCTGGCTGGTGTCGGCGGCGCATTGCTTCCTGCAGCGGAAGGGCAGCCCCAGGTGGGTGCGCCTCCATTTTCAGGCATTTATCTGAACAGGAAAAAGTTTTTCCAAGGATTTTTCAAAGAAATGTTTTAAAATAGCGAGCCAGGACGGTGCCTGACCCTGCCCCGTGTTTTGGGACTCATGCAGGTACTCAAACCCCAGCCTGTGGATGGCCTACATGGGCCTGACCAACCAAGGTGAACGCAACGGCCCCAACGTGCAGGCACGGAAGATCAAGCGCATCATCTCGCACCCCTACTTCAACGACTTCGACTTCGACTACGACATCGCTGTGCTGGAGCTGCAGAGCCCCGTCACCTTCTCCTCCGTCGTCCAGCCCATCTGCCTGCCTGACGCCACCCACAACTTCCCCGTGGGCAAGGACCTGTGGGTGACCGGCTGGGGAGCCACGGCGGAAGGAGGTGGGCGCAGTTTTAGTGCATTTAGTTTGCCTGAAAACTCTGGAATTAATTAAGTAAGATTATTTATCTTGGGGAGCGCACAAAGTTGATGGTAATGGGTTCTGCAGGAGAGGTGGTGGTAGGAAAAACACCACCAGGGATTTCCCTGGCAATTAGGCATTCAGAGCTTGAATGGGGAGGAAAAATTGCTTGAAAAGTGACATTTGCTTTTACTGATGCTGCTCCTTTCTGTTTCCTCGCAGGCAGCGGAGCCTCCATCTTGCAGAAAGCTGAAATCCGGCTGATCAACCAGACGGTGTGCAACCAGCTGCTGACGGACCAGCTCACGCCACGCATGATGTGCGTGGGCATCCTGACGGGTGGCGTGGACGCGTGCCAGGTAGGAGCAGCGGCAGCACATGGGGTTATTGCGGCCAGGAGCAGTGTTAGTTAGGGACGAGGGGCTGCTCGCTCAGCCTGCTTTAGTCTGGCACTTACACAACAAATCCATGTGGAGCTGCCTTGATTGGGACAACGGATGAATCGCAGTGGGTGTGAGCTGCAGATTGCATTGATGCAGGACTTGTCTGAAAATCATCTCACCAGGTAAGAGCACAGCACGCTCACACTCCACTTTATTGCCTGGAGCCTTAGTTAGCAGGACAGGTTGCTTGTTTAGCTCTTGATTTTTGGTATTGTGATGCTTCCTGACTTACTTAAATACTCGGTTTAGATATAGGAATGATTCTTTAGTGGTTCAGGGAATTTGTACAGACAGCTGACTTAGATTTCTGACTTAAAATACATATTTTTCAGGCTATGGACTTGGTACTTATAGGGTTGTGTGGTTTACTTTATTGCTTTGCATGAGAACCATGTCTGGGTTAGTGCTGATGTGACTGTTTCCATGCAGGGAGACTCTGGGGGGCCACTGGTCAGCGTGGAGCCCAGCACTCGCATGTTCCTGGCTGGGGTTGTGAGCTGGGGCGATGGCTGTGCCCAGAGGAACAAGCCTGGAGTCTACAGCCGAGTCACCAGCCTGCGGGGCTGGATCCAGCAGCAGACAGGACTTTAGGGACACAGATACCTCTTGGATGGGCTGGAGCCAGCACCCAGCCTCTACTGTGAACTTCAACCCTCCCTCTACCTCACCAGAACCAATGGTTTGGTTTAGCCCTTGACTGTTCCCACATCACAACTTGGAGAAATTGAGTGTGGGTAAGCAAGCACAGCTCACACACAACATGAATGATCAGCCCCTCCAGATATACACATAAAATAAAAAAAATTAAATTAAAAAAAAAGAAAAATTACAAACACTTCATGTTTAGAAGCAAACTTTATTGGGACAGGTTCAAAAAGACACTTGCTGTAATTTTTTTCAAGTGTCACATGGCTTTTCAAACAGTCGTGGGGGGGAAGGGGGTCTTACCACAGTTTGGGGGGGATCCCAAAGGGGGATTCCTCCCTTGTCCCACACCGTGGTCTCTGTCCATCTTCTGGTTGCACCAAGTCTGCTGCAATGGCGCTGTCACTCACCAAGGAAAGCAGCAGCAAGGGACCTGGGGGCAGTTGTCCACACTGGAGACCATGGCTGGCATCTGCTGAGCTCCAGGAGCTTGGACTTGTGCTGCAAGCAGTGTCTGTGTTCCTGGAGCTGGTCCCCTGCAATGACAATGACACACATGAGCTGTGCCAGACACCACTCTTAGACTTCTTACTTTTGTAAAGAAAAATACTGTATAATGTGACCTGTGAATGTGCTGATTTGATTTCTTTTCTTGAAGGGCACACTGCAATCAAGTTCAGTTTGCCCTTTCCTTGCCTGTAAATAGATTGTTTTGTAAAACTCTCAATGAAGTGGAGACTCTCTAATAAACTGGGATATTTTCTAATACTCTGGCTCTGTGGTTCCCTCACCAGTGCTCCCAGGAAGCCTGCAGCACCTTTAGCCCAGTGCTCAATGGGAGCTGAGCTCCTCAAAAGGAAAACACTTCAATCCTGTACCCCTCTCCTACACACAGCAGCTCCTCTGTGCTGTTTTGGGCAGGCTGCAGTGGGTCCAGGGTCCAGAGATGCAGGACTAAAGCTGAGCATCACACCAAGCACCCACCTAAAAACCTGCAGGAGTCACCCCCAGCCCAGCACTCACCTCCTACAGCAGCATCAGGAGCTGTGCAGACCACCACACTGCTCTGCTTCCCTCCAAGGGCTGGCAAACAGGTCCTAGGGAAGAAGAAAAATAAGAAATTAAGGATGTTTCCAGTATCTAAAAGCCCAAGCTGCTTGGTTCCTGCTGGGGACAGGAGGGGTTTTAACACTTCACCATTTCACCCTGGAGCTGCAGAATCATCAGGAAGCAGATGAGTCCTGCACTGGGTGTTCCTTGTGTGCAGCAGAGCTGTCACATCCCTGCTGCTGGTGTCACTGAAACACAAACGGGGAAAGAAAGTCAGCTGAACCCCAAAACTGCTGCAGTTCACAGCACTGAGCTATGACAGCAAATAAAACCACAAATTATTTAATTTCAGTGGCCCAGTTTGCAGTTACACCCCACAAAAAATAACTTTTCCCTAAAGTTGAGACTTGCAGACAATAGCAGGAGATGCCTGGGATAACAGGGCCTGCCTGAGGCCTCCCCACCTGCATCCACAGCACCACTTTCTTAAAGCAGACACTAGATTTGTCCAAAAAAGCCACACAGGTTCAGCCTGCAGCCAATGGGCCTGCTCAGGGCCATGCCAGCCACCCCATCTCACAGCAGATTTGGGAACACTGGTTCCCATGTGCAACTCCAGGACCTGTGCACCCCACTTGGCACTGCCAGCCAAATATCACATCAACCTCACCTCGCAGGGGTATAAGGTCCTCCCTTCTGTCCTTGCAGTGTAGAGCATCACTTTCAGCCCTGAATTTTGTCGGGTTTCACTCTCTGCCCCCTGGACTCACCTCCTGAGCACAAGATGCACCATTTACCTGCTCAAACACAGCTCTGGGATCCCTCCTCAGCCAGGGGGATATTGGGGCCAAGGAAGGAGAGCACAGGAGATTCTTTTCCAAAAAATGTGAATCCTGTGCAAGCAAAATCATTAAAACGTGGTCAGAGAGGTTTTATTTTCTCCAAGCATCACCCACCACAGTGAGGTGCAGCAGTGCCCCTGCTCCTCCCAAAAAGCCCCAATTGTTGGCACTAAGCACACGAGGGATCCACAGCATCAGGGTGGCCTCAGAGGCCGGCTCAGCCTTTCCTTGAGGCACACATTGAGACAGGCTCTCGGCATCATCTGCCCTGAATTATTGGGCTGGGGGTGGATTTCCTCAAAGCCTTTTTGGCTCAGGCATCAAATTCATCCTCATTTTTTTTTTCATGTCCCAAACACACACACATAACAGGGATCTGGTTACCTGGAAAGACTGTGCTCGCTCCTGCATCGAGCAACCTTTTGTCAAACCCATGATGAAGGGCTCCTTCCTCCCACGATGTCAACCTGGCTAGAGGGGGACAATTTTAAGCCCTAAGTAACATTATTTTATGATTGAGGAAAGCAAGTAGAGATAAAACCACCACATTCACTCTCAGCCTGGCTCTGGACACATTCACTGCATCTGTAACTCTTGTTTGTATCGCAGTCTTGAGGCAAAGGGGATATCAAAGCAGCAGTTGGGAGAAATAAGAACATCAACAACTCAGCTCCAGTGTCACCTTCTCCTTGTCAAACAAAAGCCAATGCCCCCAAATCCATAACCTGGTTTGGAGTATTTTCATTGTACAGAGAAAGGAGCAAGTGCAAATTCTCCCTGGAAAAAAACTGGCATCACCGTGAGCACCAAAGCTTGGCGTGGATAAAACCGTTCTTGCAACCAAGGCACAAATAAAACCTTAGACAAGATTAGGACCAAAAACCCCTCATCGGAGGGGGTGCCATGGGAAGCAGGAGTCCCAACCAAGAGTCACACAGCACCACGTGAAACACCCAAGGAGCTGGACCACCAAAGCTTTGCTTTGCTCCAAGACAGCAGGGCTGCTCAGAAACCTCAGCTCCTGCAGAAACCAGCCCTTTGTAAGGATTAAAAAGAAATACAAGAATTAAAATTTAAAAAGCCAGGTCCCCAAGCTCCAGCCCCACTAGATGTCCCCCTCGGCCAAGGCACAAGGGCTCCTGAAAGCATCCCTGGGATGTGGAGGGAGCCAAGAGGAGACAGAAAGGATGAGAGGGCAGGGAAGGAAAACGAGTGTGGGCAGCACTGGATGGGGAACAGAGCCAGACAGCTGGCCTTGCCTGCAAAGTGCCTGAATGGGGCGATTTTGGGGAAAAGCAATGCTGAATCAGCCTGGAAAGTCCCATCCCACAGGTCAATGGTCCAAATCTAAGAGTTTGCCAGCAGCCCACTCCATTTCTTACTGTCCCAGTCCACCAGCAGCTCCCAAACTGCAACATCTGAGTGTTGAGGCAGAAAGGGAAGAGGAAAGAGTCCCCCACTCATTTTACATTGAAATAAATGAGTTGTCAGACCCCAAAAGCAGCATTTCAGCAATACAAACCCAGTCCCAGTTTGTCCTCAGAGCTGGTAGGGGTGGAAAAGCCACTGAAGTGGGGATGGGAACTGGTAACAGTCACAGCAAGGGGTTTGTGCGGAGCAGAGGCACACAGAGTACAAGAGGGGCTGACATTTGCATCTCCTCACGCCGGTCGTCTTAGAAACTGTGAGAAAAGTAAAGAGTCAGTGCAGTCATCGGGGGCAACCTCTCACCCCAGGAAGGCAACACAAACAGCAGGGTCAGGGAACGGGGAGCAGGGAGGATTTTGTGCTGCCAGGGGCTATTGGGGGGCAAAGGGATGGGTGCATCCCCTGGAAGTGAACCCGGGCAAGGCTGCCCCAGGTCAGCACCCATCTTGCATGGGAAGGGATGATTTGCACCAGGAAAGCAGGCCAGGTCTGTGGATTACAGCTGATGAATTGAAGGAAAACAGCCCACAGCTGTTTGGAAAGCCTTCATGAGTGCCCCACTCCCTTACCCACTCCTGGCTGGCCCTCGTACCAGCAGATCTCCATGCACACCACCTACATCTCACCATACAGCATCGTGTCCTGCTCTACATCCACTTCACCAGGTACCTGCTCACACACAATAGTAGGTTCAGGTTCTCATCTCCTTCCTCCAAACCATTTTAGGGCTCGCAAGCAAGTCTTTGACCTTCAAATCACCACTCATGCTATTGCTTTGCAGTCACATCTGTGCCAGCAGGGAGAAGCACTTCACATGCCACTGTCTCCTGATTTGTTTCCCACACATCTTATCATAAGATAAGGCTCACTAAGCATCAAATGCCTTAGCTCCCCCTTGGTTTCTCTGCCCAGCAGCTCCAGTCCAGATTGTGCTGCTGAACTGGAGCCTAAAGGGCAGGTTCCCTGATCTTGGATGCACTGAGGGAACCAGCTCCCATCCTCTGTCTTGTGAGTGGTGCAGCATCATCCTAATTCCCAGGAAAATATCTTTTAGCCCCTGCATCCCTTGGGAAACATCATCAAGTGATGCTATTTACAGCCACGGCAGCTGCCGCAGAGTTCCTGGAAAGCTCCTGAGTGAACACACAGCGGCATCCCGGCTGTCTGGAGCAGTTGGCAGACACCTCAGGAGACACCCAGGGCTAAGAGAGCCAAGTGAGGACTGAGGTGTGTGGGATAGGGGTCTGCCTGGGTTTGGGAGCGCAGACTGTGACAGAAAGGCAGCAGGAAAGCTCCAGGGAAGCAGGTTCCCAGCAGCTGCCTCTCAACAAGCAGTGAACCAGAGCGGGCAGCTCATCCAGTGCTCTCCCTCCCAGGGCTCACAGCAGGGGACAGGAATGACAGCAGCTCCTGTAATTCGAGGGCACGCTGTCACCCACAGGGAACACAAGATGCTTTGGCTAAGCCAGTTCTTACCATCACCTCATTTAACTCCAGCTGTCGGATGGTTCAGCTACACTGAACCAGGGCCTTTGACTTCCACCAACAAGATATGAATCTGATGGCCCTAAGATCAAGAATTCACATTAAGTGACTATTTTCAAGCAGAGGAAGCTGGACAGAGCT